GTATATTTAAAATCATTACAAATCTCTGTTCATATTGCCCATGAAAAATTACTGTGGTACATATTTAGAGCAGGACTTGGCAAACTGTGGCCTAAGGGCCAAATCCAGCATGCTTCTTGTTTTTGTAAATAAAGTTTTATTAGAATACAGAAATGCTTGTTTATTTATGTATTGTCTATGGCCACTTTTACTCTGCAAAGGGAGAATTGAGTAATTTTAATGCTAAATGACCCGCAAAGCCAAACCTATTCGCTGTCTGCCTCTTAACAGAAAAAGTTTGCAAGATGTTAATACTGCATAATCATATGGCATTTTAGTTTCTTCTGGAGATTAAAGCTCTTTTTCATGGGATGAAGTGGCAGAAACATAAAACCAGTTGATGAAAATAAAAAAACCCACTTCTGCCATACCTTTGATAATTTTCAGGACACTTACCAACTGACAGTTTTGTCATTCCCTGTTCTTTTAAGGTTTACATCTCTGCACGATTGTCTTAAGTACCTTTGTAACAGCTTATTCTCTGTGAAATCATTTTACTAACTATAGTCTGGTTGAGAGGATGTATTTGGTTGACTTCATCAGTTTGGCCATGAATAGTGTTCTGCAAAATGCATTCCACCAGCAAGTTTCTTGTACCAGCTACACCTATGCTTAACTCCTTGGAAATAAAAGCACTGTGTATTATATAAACCTTAATGTTCATAAGCACTTGGGTTTGGATATTTTACAGCTCTTTGCTGTGTTCTCTTAGGGAGAAATTTTCCATAATGTTGCTGTGATTTGTTTTCAGAATCTTTTCAAAGTTAGTGATGTCACTATTCTGATACAAACTTACTAAATTCATTGTTGTTAGAATTCCTTGATCATTTTTGTACAGCTTAACTTCTGGCAAGTCAAGTGGATTTAATTCCCAGTTTTTCAGCATATTTCCTAAGACTAGATATTTTAAGTAAGTGGTTGACATAGATCTCCCCAATATATTATCATCGTTGAGGCTTTGAATTTCAGCATGTGAATTTTCAAATTCACCTTTTCTCAAGGGCATTTTACCCCTTAATTCTGTGATGACTCCCATGATCAATGGATGAGGGTTGGCAGAGTGATGAGGACTGACCAGTTATAGAATATTTTTAGTTGTGTTATTTTCCTACCCTACGTGCATTTGAATTTCCAAACCATATATCTCTAATAACTGTGTCTTCAAGTTATCTTCATCACCAATCTGATATGACTGATGTAACTGGCATAGTATATTTTGAAGTTTTCCATATCCTTCTCAATTCTTAATATAATTTATGTAACCTTCACACTTGTATTAAGCCACAATCTGTCACTCTTAGAATGTTTCAGAATTTCCATTGCTGCTTCATAGAATTTCTGGAGTAAATTCATCTGGCATTTTCTTAAAAAGAATTCTCTTTAGAGGTGGAGATACAATTCAATAATAGAACTAACAATTTTTTCAGAATAATTTTTTGTAGCTGTTCCAAATGTAGGTCAGTGACATGTCTGTTCATCATTTCAGGAAAGCTTTGTCAATGTGAAATTCATCTTAGTCATTGTTTTAATGTTTTCAGTCTCCCTTCTCTTTTTCTTTCAAGCTCCAAAATCTTTCAGAAACTGCATTAATGCTGCTTTGAAATTATAATTCTGATTTTCCAAATCGTCATTTGATTAAATAACTCCCTTCAGAGTATTCCAGGTAATAGCCCTTCTTACCAGTGCACAAGAGATCATCCTCTTTTGGCAGACATTTTGGCTGGCTATTTCATTGTGGTTTTAATTAACCTTTTCATTTGCTTATTTGCCATTTATGTATTTTCTTTTATGAAGTGTCTGCTCAAATTTTTATCCATTTTATTAGATTGTCTTTTTCTTTAAGTTCTAGATATATTCTAGATACAGTTTTTTTCACATATCTGTACTACTTGCCTATTTCTTTTTTAAATGTCATGTTGTGTTTTATTTTTTTAATTAAGTTTATTTTAATTTCACTATTGTTAACATACAGTGTTATATGTTTCAAGTGTACTATATAGTGATTCTGTACATTGCGCAGTGCTCATCGTGGTAAGTGTATTCTTTAATACCCATCACCTGTCTCACCCATCCCCTCTCCCACCACCCCTCTGGTAACCATCAGTTTGTTCTCTGTAGTTAAGAGTCTGTGTCTTGGTTTGTCTCTCTTTGTGTTTTTCCTTTGCTTATTTGTTTTGTTTCTTAAATTCCACACATGGGTGAAATCATACTTGTCTTTCTCTGACTTACTTCACTTAGCATTTTACTCTAGCTCCATCTATGTTGTTGCAAATGGCAAGGTCTTGTTCTGTATTACGGCTGAGTAATATTCTATTTGTGTGTGTATACCATATATATATTATACACATACATACATATATATGGATATATATGTGGCATATCTTCTTGATCCATTCATCTATCAGTAGACACTTAGGCTGCTTCCATAATTTGACTATTGTAAATAATGCTACAATAGACATAGAGGTGCATGTATCCCTTTGAATTAATGTTTTTGTATTTGAGGGGTAAATACCCAGTAGTTTGATTCCTGGATGGTAGGGCAGTTCTATTTTTAACTTTCTGAGGCAACTCCACACTGTTTTCCACAGTGGCTGCACCAGTTTGCATTCCCACCAACAGTGCACAAGGGTTTTCCTTTTTCTCCGCATTCTCACCAACACTTGTTTCTTGTGTTTTTGATTTTAGCCATTCTGACAGGTGTGAGGTGATAGCTCATTGTAGTTTTGTTTGGGCCTTTTTTTTTTTTTAAGTTTATTTATTTAAGTAATCTTTACATTCAACATGGAGCTTGAACTCACAACACCAAGATCAAGAGGTGCACACTCCTCCGACTGAGCCAGCCAGGTGCCACTCTCATTGTAGTTTTGATTTGCATTTCCCTGGTAATGAATGATGTTGAGCATCTTTTCATGTGTCTGTTGGCCATCTGTATGTCATCTTTGGAAAAATGTCTGTTCATTTTTCCAATTAATAAGGTTCTTTCCTGATTTAATTTGGTGCCTCATTCACATGGATCTTGAATTAAACATTAACATTAGAATGATTCTGGTTTGGGTAGGGCTGTTGACCACATAGTGTTGCCATTGCTTAGTCCTGAAGAAGCGTTTGGACTTTATTAGGTATATTTATCAAGCATTGACTGATTTTATGCCCTATATTATGCTAGGCTCTGTGGAAATTACAAAAGTGAATCACAATTTCTATCCCTATGTGAATAGTTTTATAGGAAAGTTAAAATAAAAATAAAAATAGATATTCTAGGAACCTGATGTGTGTATTCTGCATATAACTAGTGAGTGTGTACATATGTGTGTTCAGAGGAGATTGCTTCCTTTCTCTTTTATCGAGTCTTTTCTATATACATGTCAGATACTGGTAGAAGCTCTTTATAGATTTATATTTTATATATACATTTAATGTAACTTTTACTACAACTTTATAAGGTAGGTGATATTAGTCACAGAAGGTATGAAACTTACCTAAAGTTGTTCAGCTTAAGAGACTGAGACAACTTTCAGACCCACATATGTGTGCCTCTAAGCTGTGCCCCAGGTTTTAAGACCTTGAGATAAATATGGATACATCATTTTCATCACTTAGCTGTATATACCTAAAGTAGGACTGGGAACTCTTATTACTTTAAAGGGCTGGAATCATCTTGGGTCTCTCTTTCATTTGTATGAGCGTCCTCTTTTATTTTTCCATTTTAAAATCATCTTTATTCAGTTGTAATTTATATACAGTAAAATACACAAATTTTAAGTGAATGATTCAGTACATTTTAACTACCACTGTAGTTGTGTTGGATAATATTTCCATATTCAAACGTCAAAAAGTTCTCTTCATGTCTCTTAAGAATCAGTTTTCTTCTTTTAACTCCAGCCTCTTCCAAACACTGATTTACTTTCTATAACTTAAAATTTTGTCTTTATAAGAATTTCATACACATGATATTAATGGAAAATAATCTTTTGTGTCTGGCTTCTCCAGTCACTTAGAAAATGCTTTTGAGGGGCGCCTGGGTGGCTCAGCCGTTAAGCATCTGCCTTTGACTCAGGTCATGATCCCAGCGTCCTGGGATCGAACCCTGCATCGGGCTCCCTGCTCGGCGGGGAGTCTGCTTCTCCCTCTCACACTCCCCCTGCTCGTGTTCCTGCTCTCGCTGTGTCTCTCTCTGTCAAATAAATAAATAAAATCTTAAAAAAAACAAACAAACAATGCGCTGTTAAAATAGAAGGTCATGTTTCTGTGCTCCAGTTCTTTAGCATGTGAGCAAATGAAATTTAACAAGGAATTTATTAGAAATACCTGGATGCTTGCTTTGTTGTATAAAGGATTGCTGTGATACTATTGACATTTGTTTAGTTTTCTCCATTGGCAAAAGGAAGGGATATTTTTCCCATAGCCTATTTGAGTCCCTTGACATTTGGTGGTCTAGTTTCATATTGAGTAGACTGCTGTGTACATTTTCATGCCATTTGCCCTTAGGATAAACTCCAATTAAGGGACTTCTCTTTTCCTTTTGGGAACCTGGCATATGGGCGTCATGCCAAAAGATCATTTAAAGCAGCGATTTTTATACCCAGTTTTTCTAATGGGAGCATTTTACCTCCTTTTGAGATTAATTTGAATGTTTTCCTGTGGGAAATCCATTTTGATTACCACATTTTCCCTCTTGCAATAGAAAGGTCACCAGCTGCACTTCTTGCAACAGAGATGAATACACATGAGGTATATACAGGAAGCAGGTTCCTTTTCCTCCATATTTTTTTCCTTAATATTTGATTTTGCTTTTGCTTGAACAGTTGGTCCCTGAAGATGCAGTAACTCTGGGCATGCACATGTATATGTATGTCCCTGCAGCATTTTAAAGCACGTAAATGAGAAGACCTTGTTGTATAAACTTATACAAATACGTACGTGATTAACTACTAAACCTTTTTCCTAATGTTTCACAGGAGTCTCCCCAGGACAGTGCTATCACTCGGGATATTAACCGGACATTCCCAGCTCATGACTATTTTAAGGACACAGGAGGAGATGGACAAGATTCCTTATATAAAATATGCAAGGTATTTCACATCACAAAAAAAAACATTAGTTTTGAAAGGTGATTTTGGTTCTTTGAAATTACACGAAAGGTAACTACAAAGTGTAATTTGTATTTGATGTATAAGAAGGCAAAAAAAGGGGGCACCTGGGTGGCTCAGTCGGTTGAACGTCTGCCTTCGACTCAGGTCATGATCCCAGGATCCTGGGATTGAGCCCCCGAGTCAGGATCCCTGCTCAGCTCAGAGTCTGCTTCTCCCTTTCCGTCTGACCCTCCCCCCGTGTTCATGCTCTCTCTCGCTCGCTCGCTCAAACGAAGAAATAAAAAATCTTTGAAAAAAAAAGACAAAAAAGGAGAACGCAGACTTTCTGAAATTGTGATGTTACCTTTAATTTTATGCTGATAACAGGAAATCAATGAGACATAAAATCATAAGGTTTCTTTTACCCTTTTAATCAGGACTTGCAGATGATAGTCCCTTGGCTCCACATTTATTATTTTTTTTATGGGGGAGGGGCAGAGGTAGAGAAAGAATCTTCAGCAGTCTCCACACCCAGCACAGAGCCCGACACAGGGTTCAGAGTTCAGTCTCGCAACCCTGAGATCATGACCTGAGCTGAAGTCAAGAGTCAGATGTTTAATCGACTGAGCCACCCAGGTAACCCCTCCCCACCCAGCTCTACATTTAAACTTTTAGAAATTGGTTTTACGTTAAGAGCTCTGAGTCCTATAACACTGCAAACTCCCTTTTGGTATTCCCATTGTAAGTTACGAACTTGGCAGCTAGGACATGTCCAACAGTGGGAAGTGCTGATGCCTAGGTGGACTTTTTAGCACTGCAGCATAATAAATGGTGGGACATACTGATGTCTGTCAAAAGATCTGTACCTGAAACCTGTAAAGGAAATGTTCAATTTCAGCCATCCATTTTCCAGTAGATTTTGGTACTTCAGAGCTGTAAGGCTAAAATAGGACTTGGGACCAGAGTTCTCCAACTTCATCTGTCCTCAGATCTGTCTTTAGTCTTTTCCCCCCAAAATTAATCAAGTACCTATGTAGCATCTACTATCTAAGAAGTACAGACTAGGCATGAGACATGCCCTTAAGAAACTTACATATTATTGATTGAAAAGGTAGAATTAACAAGTTTTAGGGCAGGCTAATAATAAAGGACAGGTTTTCCAGGGATAAACTAGATGCTTCAACTATAAGGGCAGTTAGGTTTAGAAAAATGTTTCTTTAATTTCCACAAAGTTGTCATTTCTGTTGTGATCCTCTTCTCTGATCATCCTTTTTTAGGCCCTTCTCAGTTGTGCTTTCCACTTAAGCAGCCATCCAGCTGTGCCTCACTGCAAAATTTCCCATAAAGAAACCCTGTGCTCACTGCCTCTGAGCCCTTACTCCTGATCCCACTGCACTCTAGTGTCTGTCTCACAATGGTCTTCTTGCAACGCTCTCTGCTCTTGACCTCTTGACCTCTCTCACCCTCCCGGTTTTGCTCTCACCTTCTGTCTCAACATTGCTGACTCCCTCTTTGTCTCTCTCTCTACCTGCTCCTAAAACCGGGGCATTCCCCTGGGTGCTCAGTCAGTGGTTCTTTTTGCTCTATAATATCTCCCTGGTGACTCCTTCCACCCCCACAGCTTCAGCTACAACCTCTGCACAGATGTTCCCAAATCTCTGTTTAGCTCAAGGCCTAAATTTCTAGCTGTCAGTTGGTCTTCATGTAGAAGTCTGTTAAGTACATCAAACAAAAAGGTCTAAAGATAGAGTTCATTTAAAAACATGTTTTATTAGAATTTTCAAAGATAACAAAAGTTTAATAGAATAATGAATTCATATATATCCCCCCAGATTTAATATTTATGAACATATTGCCACAGTTGCTTTCTCTATTCCTTTTAAAAATTTTCCTGAAGTGGGGCACCTGGTGGCTCAGTCGGTTAAGTGTCTTACTTTCGGTTTTGGCTCAGGTCATGATCTCATGGGTCATGAGATCCAGACCCGTGGCGGGCTCCACGTTCAGCAGGGAGTCTGCTTGAAGATTCTCTCTCTCTGCCCCTCCGCCACTCACATTCCCAGGCTCACTCGCTTGTTCTCTCTCAAAAAAAAAAAAAAGTACTTCAAAGCAAATCTCAGATATCATGAATCTAAATTCTTCACTATACATCTCTAAAAAATTAGATCGGGCACCTGGGTGGCTCAGTTGGTTAAGCGACTGCCTTCGGCTCAGGTCATGATCCTGGAGTCCCGGGATCGAGTCCCGCATCGGGCT